AAAACACTACTACGTATGCGTACACATATATTCATATTTATAGTATATATTCCAAGGCTCTCTAATAAAAGTACTCACTGCCACTTGATTAATGTACTTATTATCTATTGGTAAATATTATATCCTATCACAGGACAATAAGTGAACAATATTGTAAAATTTAGTTATGTTAAAGAGGCTTAATTTCTACTACATAAATGTTGCAGCCGTATACTTCATTTTTACGCGAATAAAAATATCGAAGTTTGTACGTTCCGTAAATAAATGTTTTAGGAAAATTGGTGTTCTTATTAAAGATCGATGTATCCAGGCCCGGAAAAATATAAACGCCCTAAAAGTATAAAACAATTTTTTAATAAAACTATTCATTACGTAACAATATTATGAAATTGGTTATCGATTTTAATTGTGTACAGCAAATTATTATCAATAATAATATTTTGCACTGTACCGTACTATATCAAATAAAACCGGCGTACTTTATGCTAACGTAAAATTATGTTTAAAAAAAAAACGATGTATTGATTAAGTTAAATTTTTATAAATTTGTATGTATAGTAATGTGTTAAAAATATACTCTACAGCAGATATTATTTTGTAAATATAGTATATTGTGATATTATACCGGAGGAACAGGGCACGTGGCATTCTGTATTCCTAAGTCGTACATCATTCTAGACCACTCTTCTCCCATTAAATACCTTAATGTCGAGCAAGCTTTTGGCATCTTGTGAATAAACGTATTTTCTTTCCAAATCCCGTCTGCACTTCTGCGAGCAAAATTTCCTTCTAACTGGAAAAAATATCGTTGTAACTCAATTTATATTTATACTGTTAAACAAATTAACTAATATATTACAATTATTGTGGCAAGAAATGATAGTTAAATAAAGATCTGGAAAACGGGCTATTACATTTAAGTTTTAATTATGAAGGGATCTTTGTTTTTTTTTTTTTGTTAATAATTTCGTATTTAAAATTGCGAACTTTTATGTAAGTATTTAAACCTACATTAGCCATTAGGTATACTTACAAAAAGTGAGTCATCAAATGGTATGGTAACCGTAATGTTTCCTTTGATTTCTGTCACATTGGATTTGGGATTTTGGCCCAGGTAAAAATTATTTTGTATTTTATATTCTTTTGAAGCATTGCAGATCTGAATGTCCTTGAAAATTATTTTGAATGGACCCTAAACAGAAATTTTCGAATGTATTAAACAGGTATGAAGCAGTGTTGGGTAAATAATTTTTGAAAAGTAGTAAAATTACGTTACCTACTCATTACATTAAAATTATTGAAATTGAAATTGAATGCGAGTTACCCAACATTACTTTTATTATTTAATGTTACATTTTTCAATTGAAAGTAGGGCGTTACATACTTACAAATAATGTTACTTTTTGAGATAAATCGGTCCGTAACGACCAATAAGCATTACCTATAATAGATATACTATAAGTCTATAAACAATTATATAGATTGTATACCTATTATACTTTATAGTATAATAGGTATACAATCATTGTTAATGACTTAATGTAACAATGTGATACGAACAAAATGTACAAACATTAATTATTTTTGGCATCTTTAATAATCAACCTGTCTACAGTCTTCTCTAGTAAATAGATCAAGCGTATTCGATTTTTCTGCGTAAATTAATTGATGTAAGTTTTGGACGTTCTAGTAATCCTGACTTGCTACAGACTGTCAATTCACCTGTCCTGTCTTTAAATCCTACACGAGCCTTTTTGTTTCACTATGTCAAACTGTCCTCGAATAATAAAATTGTCCAATGAGGGGCCACCTTTTAGATTCTGATCGAAGTGATGAATGTATTGATTTTACAATGATGTGTGTGTTTTTTGTTTTGTTTTTGTGTCTGTGTACAACATAACTAGCCGAAATAATACTTCAATTTCAAACATTGGGGGTGGTTCTCGATGTAAAAGTGAAAATCCTTGGTGCATTATAGAGGTCAAAAGTTAACATTTTCCAACAGTTTTCAAAAAAATCGAGAAAAACAAAAAAAAAATGAAAGAAAAACGGGAATTTTTACGCAAAACCAGTTTTCGACCAAATCGGTTTTCTTATATGGTTGTAATTCAAAAACTAATCTCTGTAAATACTTGAAATTTTCACCAAGTGTTTATGTTAGTGATATCTATATACAGTTTAATTTTAACTTTTTTTTGAGTTATTTATAGTCCACTGAAATTTTCAATTTTTTTTAGAATTTTTTTTTGAAGTGCCGGTAAAAAAATGTTGGACAACCAATAATACTTAAAAATTTAATACAAGGTTCCTTATGAGTTGTTTTTATTGTAGCTAAAAAAAATTAAAAATCGTTAGCAACAATTTTTTTTTATAAACATTTATATTTCAAATTTTTACGAAATCTGTCGAAAACGCGAAAATTTGCAAGTAATTTTGAAGTTGAAAAATCATAAAATTTTTTGTGTTTATAACTAAGGATTAAAAATACAACACTAAGTTTTCCATTAGTTTTCCTTCAAGTAGCTATAGAGAAAACTCGAAACATTACCATACGAAAAATTTTAAGTGCGTTTGAATTTTGAATTTTTACGAAATAGCGGAACGATAACGATTTATCCTCAAACGTTATTAAATATTTGTTATTATTCAAAAAGTATAAGTCCTAGATACTTGAAAATTTTACCAGTTATTAGGATTGGCATTTCTTTACATGATTTAATTTTCAAAATATTTTGACTTTTTTTGAGATATTAATAGACAACTGAAATTTTCAATTTTTTTGGCCCTATCAAAATACTTGAAAATTTAATACAAAGTTCCTCATAAATTATTATTATAGT